TATCCCAATTGAGACTTTAGAACACTTTATTTTTGACGCTATTTTTATTGATTCCAAAATAGATTATAATATTTGACTTTTTGAACAATACATTGACTTGGAATATCGGGTTGTCACACGGATCGTATAGAAGGGTGTTTGAAGCACCTAGAAGAGGTTTGGAGCACTTGGGAGTGATATGGAGCAACAATGGGACCTTGTTGCCCATCTGCTGAAGACTTGGGCCAAGAAGGATGTTGTTGCGCCAAGGGCACTCTTTCTTGCACCAAGATACTCCCTCTTGCGCCATAAGATATCCCTCTTGCGCCATGAAGTATGTTGTTTCGCCAAACATGGCCTTGTTGTGCCCTGCATGTTATTGTTGCGTTAAGATAGTGATGTTGCTCTGCCACACTTGATGCCTCTTGTGCCATCCATATTCTTGTTGCGCCATGATGACGCAAAATGGACCATCTTGGTCCTTGATGAGCCAAGTATGCTATGAAGTCCTCTATGATGCTCAAGATGGAAGAATGTTCCAGAAGATGTTGCATGACGGAATATGATTGGTTGTCATCATTCATGGGCCTATAGGCCAATGGGCTTGGCCCATTAGGTTTTCAGGTTTGATCCCTCATGTATAAATAGGCTCATACCCCTATCATTGTAAATTGCTAAATTTTTGTGAGAGCTCAAAGTGAGATACAATTTTGAGTTCTTGTAATAGTTCCAAAAAGTTAATAAAATCATCTCTCTCTCTCTCTCTCTCTCTCTCTCTCTCTCTCTCTCTCTCTCTCGTTTATCCGTGGACGTAGGTCACCTTGACCGAACCAGGTTAAATATCATGTTCTTTTGATTTACGTTTTTTAGAAGTTTTGTGAGTTTACCGAAGCTTGTGTTTTGATATTTGTCTGAAGTGCTTAACTTGTTTAGTAGTCACCCAACATTCTTGATGTTCATAGGTTATTGTTATCAATAGAAAAAACATAGATCATTTCTAGGTTGCATGTGAATTTAAGGGTTTAAGTGTTTTTTCGGCCACATGAATTTTTTTATAACCTAGAAAACTCATCAAACTCATGTTTTGATGTTTACGTTTGTACATTTGTTTTGGTCATCTTCTTGTAACTTATATAAGTTGTTTAAATAAAGAATAAATGAAAATAACTTGCCATTCTACAATGTTAGATTACTCGTGTGGTTCGGTTTGTGGATAGTCTTGTGGTTTTGTTTTATGTGTTTGGGTAGGTTTCGTTCTAACGGAGCCGAATTTTTTTGGTTAAAAAGTTGAAAACCAATATATCGGTTAATCTTTTGGTTTCAATGAACTATAGTAGTTTAGTGGTTAATACGAGATCAAAGGAGATGAGAAACTATTCATTGTATGTTTTGTTTCAACATAACATGTTTCTAAAGAAATTATTTGCTACAAGTAATTATTCTTCGTACGAAAAAAATATTATTATCAAATGAAACTATTCAACAAATATATAAAATCGATAAATTAATGTTGAGAAAAACATAAAAGAAATTCTTGTATGTTGATTATATGACATTGTTGGTCAAGCATAAAAAATTTAAAAAAAAAATTAAAAAGAAAAAAAATCCATAAAACAATAAGATAAAATTCGAAAAACGGTTTTTGCATTTTTTTTTTAGTATACCTTAAGTTAGAAATTGAATTAAAATATTCCCAATGGTTTCTAAAATATGACATATTTCCAAATTGAGCAATTTACTGAAATGATACTATTTATCATTCATCGATAAAAATATAATCGTCGAAAAAACTAATTATCATCGCCATATCAAACTTAGTAAATCATAAAACTCAAGATCTGTGTAAATCCACCCAAATGGAGAATAAATTGTTAAATTTCTATGTCGCTATATTGAATTTCCATTTTGACTAATAATACATTACAAATTTGTTTTAATAGTAAGTTTGACAAAATGTTCTTAAGTTTATCCCCCGGTACATTAAAGCTCTTAAGTTTGACAAAATGTTCGGCTTTACTCTTTTTCTGATACATTACAGCCCTTACGTTTGTCAAAAATAGATTTACCAAGTTTTAAATAGGAAAAAAATAATAATAAATAAATAAAAAAGGTGAAAGCCTTCGCTTTTAGTGAACCAAAAATACACAAGAATAAAAATAAATATTTCTACCAAACTTAATGACTTTTATTAAATTATCCCTTACTAATACAAATAATATGTTTGACACAAATAACATCCATATTTTCTATAGGCCCGTCTTATTTTGTAATACAAATAATCTGCATTTTTATATTTATTTTAATATTTTATTAACTTTAAAAAAAAAATAAGAATAGGTCTCTCTCTATCTCTCTCTTTCTCTCTCAACCCTTTAAGAAGATGAACCATATAATAAAACTCTTTTACTATTAAAAAAAAACCACCCCCACTTAAATGTCGACTTCTTGAATCTCCCCCCCCCCCCCCCAATCTCTCCTAATTTCCCCACCAACATGCCCTTCTTCTCTACCACTGTCACCAACATCTTCTCCGACAACCCACCACACTCCTTCTCCACTATCGCATCGAAAAACCATCTAGATCTCAGCTTCGTTGAACCCAATGGCGGCGCAAGAGGGTTGCGATCGGGGGAGGTAAGAGTTTCATTTGACTTTCATTGAAGCCAGTAGCGGAAAAACCCTTCGTGACCAACCCCATCTTCTATCATATGTTGACAACGACTTCCCCTTCTTCCCTTTTGAGGAAATGACACTGTCTTCTGCTTCCACTCCTTTTTTACAACACCACTGTCATCCATTATAATGGTGGTTGATCGTTAGCCTTATTATGTTGGTTTAATACATGGTCATCAAAGTATAGTTCATGCCATCATTTTGTCCCAAAAGTTTATAGCATCATAATATTAATAATTAATGATATATAAAGTTTTTAGACAATAATTAACGAGATATCATCAAGCACATCAAGCGACCTTGCGAAGGTTATCTCCTCTTTCGGTTTCCGATGTATTCGACTAAGACCCTCTTTTTTCACCTTATCTCGACCCATCGGGCGAACTATCGCTTCGTGTTCGAGCTCATACTCCTTTTTTTCAAATAAAACCCGAAATGAGCATTCAACGAAGTAGTGTAACTCATCTCGGAAACATCGGTTCTCTTCGAACCACTTTCTTCGCTACCATACTCTATTTGCCACTTTAGGGAAATATATAAAAACTTCCAAATCCGAATGGCCTCTTTTTTGTCAATTTTATAAAGTTCAAGCACCGTCCCGTTGAATTTTGTGATTGATTTATTCATTTTGTCAAACTTGCGAGTGCATTGGTATTTTGTCTGATAACGGCATAACCTATAACGATGTGAAACCACTCCTTAATGTATTGCCAAAAATGCTACTCATTTTGTGCATTTCCGGTTATATGATCTTCAAAGATGTCGACCCATGATTCCGCTAATATTTTCTCTTATTCTGGTGTCTACTATTCATGGTGTCTACTATTCAGGGGTCACCTTTTCTTTTTCTAACCAGTGCTTTTCCCTTTACCTTTTCTCGTGTTTTGGGGTTGGATGGTTCGGGTTGGGTTTCTCGAACAAATTTGGGTTCCGAATCGGGTTCGGATTGGGTTGGGTTTCTCATTCAATTCGACTTATGGTGTTAGGGTTGGCTTCCCGGAACATATTTGGGAAGAGGGATAAAATTCTGAATCAAGGTTAAACTAAGGGGTTGCATGGAGTAATATTGAGTGAAATCTCCGATAAAGTCTCAATATTTTGGGTCAGTTTACAGTTTAGTCCCAATGAAATAGTCCTTATTTTTTCCAACAAAAAAAGACATATTATCGTATAAAATTGGATAATCAGAATTTTTTTATTCAAAAAATAAATGTTGAGATTAAACCGTAAACTGACTCAAAATATTGGGACTTTATCGGTGATTTCTCTAATATTGATGTTGGTAGTGAAATTGTTAGGGTTGGGGTATGTGTTGTTGTAGGTAAACCGACGGATCCAAAAGGAAAACATTTGGAATTGGCGTTTGTGAACCACTCGCACATGATTTGTTGCGGCTAGATCTTAAGGTGAGATTGGTTGGAGGATTGTTTAAGGTGAGAAAGGGTTGTATTTTATGTAATAGAATGTATTATGGTTGTGACAAATGTTTGATATGGAGTGTTTTAAGAAAACAAAACCAAACAAAATAATTTTAAAAATTTAGTTGTAATAGTGACAGTGTTGGTAAAGAATAAATGTGAATCGATATATATTGTCTAGACCATTTTTGACAGATAATAGAGGACAAATCCTGTTAAATCTCACTCATTTGTTTAAAATAAAACGTAATCAAAGAAAATTGAAATGTCAAAGTTGACCATTTGAATCAACACTCGTCTTTAGATATATATTGTCTAGACCATTTTTGAAACGGCTAATCCCTCCATCTAGTCTTAACACAATTGATTATGCAACACAACTTGACCATTTGAATCAACACTCGTCTTTAGATAATAAAAGAAACTACATTCATCTACCGCTTACTAGATTATCGATCAAACATCAACCAAAATACACCATCTCGTCCAGCTAGTATGGTTGCTACTATATTATTATTGCATATATATAATAACTGGAACAACTTCTATAGCCAAATACGAATGTCAAAGTGTAATAAGAAATT